CTTATTTACTTGTCTATGTTTTTGTCATTGAAGGTAGATATTGAATTTTGGTTACATCGTTGGCACTATTTTCAACACTTAAAGGTTTGTGAAACGGATAACAATAATCATGCTCTGACGATAAAAATTAGTAGATTTATCACGAGTGAACTTAAATCTAATAAATGCATGCTTAGGGAATACAGTATGTTTGTCAAGCGCAAATTAAGTGCAGCATATCTCTATCACGCTTCGATCGTGAAAGGCTTTACAAATCTGAAGCTTAACAGAGAAACATGCACGGCTTTTTTTAACGTATTAAGGATAAAATTCTATTGTTAATCATGTTAAATTATTCGTAAGTCGGTAATAACATTCCGATTATGTAAAGTATAATATAGATTTTATAGAGAAACAAAACAAGTGTAACGAGCAGATATTATAATGACGAACGATCTTCATGTGATATGGCGTATGTCATATCTACTTAATTAATTATGGAAAATACTGTATTGTTTATATGTTTTCGTTTGATGTTCATATCTCAACAAATCAAAATTGCATTCGCCTTTTGATGAACATGTTTTTATAACACAGATATTAGGGCATGTGGTCTTTTTCTTGTTTCGGTTGTTTTTCGGCCAAAAATCTTCAATCTACAAGTAAAATCAAGTAAAGAAAGTAAATTCTTAAGATAAGTCATTCAATACCACATTTATTACACATCTAATTTATTCAACTCAATGTACATTGTAGTTGTTTAAGTTTTCATGGTCTACAATGGCGTCAGATTATCTTAAAAACCACAAAAGATTTTGGAAAAATGATGAACCTACCAAAATTCTGATAAATAAACAAATTCCAATTCAGCACAGTGATTGCATCAAAACGTTTCTGAAATGTATCCAAGATGGAGGTTTGCGAAAAGCTTATAATCGTTACGGATACAAACCGGTGGAATGAAAACATCCAAGATCGATAATCAATGGTATTGAAGATGAAAAGATCAGTGACGTCATTATAGTCGGTGCAGGAATAGCAGGTATAAGTGCAGCGTATGAATTAAGAAAAGCTGGTCTTTCTGTGAAAATTCTAGAGCAAACAGACCGTTATGGAGGAAGAATCTTTACGTATGGTGAAGAAAGTGGTCTTGCGTCTGGTTTGTATGCAGAAGGTATGGATAAACTCGCTCAGTAAATTTGTCTGCTAAAATTGAAGCTATTTCATTCATAAGTCATAAATTCAAAAGCTTTGCCACAGTTTTTCCACAGAACTGTAAAATTTCTGCCCACCACATAGGTATAGCTAGAACATCAGACAACAGCAGAACTAGGAAATATACCTGGCACGCGTGTGTCAACCAGAAACCACATTGAATAAACGACGACTGTTACTGGCTGACAAATATGACGAAAAACAGCAAACTTTTCAGTTGCTTGTCAAACTCCTTAGTTAAATGAAAGGAGGATGAGGCCTCCTAAAAATTATAAGTAGCATTTTTGCAAGTTCGCTAGATCAATTAAAAAATCAAAGAATTTAACATTGTTAAGCACCCTACAAGATGTTTCTCATTTTTAGAAAGTTTTTAAACATGCAGGCAAATGTAAAACATAATATAATAAAGTAAATGATATGCCATCAGTGTCATACAGGAAAATGAAAATAGCTGTTTTATCATCATTTTCTGTCTCAGCAGGTGATGTTAACAAAAAAATATGCTATTAAGGGAAATTACAAAAACTTTCTGCGCGATTTTTTTGAAGCCTACCAGGCTGTAATAAACATACGTATGTTTTATATTCAAAAGAGACCTGTATCGTTTATAGGAATTTTACTGATTTAATGTTGTGAGTAAGGGGTGCTGTCCTTTCAAGAAAAGTTAGGAGGGTCTTATAGCCTTCATTGCTTCTCCGCTTCCAACTCCCCTGAGTTGTGCCTATAAACGTTAGTGCCAAATCTGATGATTATGTTGGCCATTGAATCACACAAACCTTTTTATCTTTGGGGTGTTTTCAAAAAACTCTACTTATATGTGTTTTTGCCGTCATTGTCGTGTTGGAAGACACAGAACTAAATATATATTCTACGAATTTTTAAATCTACAGGCTATACACTTCAATGAAACGGTTTCTTCATAATCAAGTAATCTAGAAAAAGTCATTTTTAAAGAGAAGCTTTGATAAAAGATTGAGAGATTACATTCTTTTCTTCTAGAAAATGCAAAATTTTATGTAAATCACTAGAATAACTGCATTTTTTAGTATTATATGATATTCGCGACCATCTAGAAATATAATTCTTTAATCATGTACATGCAGAAATGAAAAAGAATCTTACAATTTTCAACTAAAAAATTATTTCTTATTTTTTAAGCTGGAGCAATGCAATTGCCTGGAGGTGTGGACGATCAATATAAAAAACAACATTATTTAACGGACGGTTACATCAAGAACTTTAATCTACCTATCAAATGTTTTCCAAACTACGATGAAAATGTCATTACTGGCATTTATGGTCTTCGCAAAAAATCTGAAGGTGAAGTGCATAAAAATAGTGAACAAAAAGTGTGTAAAAGCAGAGATCGTGTAATGTAAATTTAACAAGATGACTTTAGATGCATGTATTAAGAAGATGCAATTGCATGTCATTAAAAATGTTTTTCTATTTCCGCTAGCTAGTCAAAACGATGCTTGCTCAATATAAAACATCAGAGGCTTAACTAGAACGTTAATTGGGAAGGGGGGCATATTCATATATTCCGCCTTGCACTACTGATTTCTCATGAAAGTGATTTCGATTTCAAAGAAATCAACAGGGCACAATGGAATTTATGAATATACACACCCAATTGACATTCTAGTTACGCCTTTCTATAACATATTTAAGTGTTGTTCTTTTATACAAGTAGAAAGTTTGTAAGATAAAAGGCAAACATCGATAGAAAGAAAACTCAAACCATTTTCAATTCTTTAAATTTACAACATTTATTTTCTCAACAACGAGCTTAGGCCTGCATTATAGCTAATACCGGTTTACATTTAAAATGCATGCCACTACAGTTCATGATGACGCTATTTGCACATGGATATTGTTAGTACTACTCTATCATATGTAATGATTAATTTGCTAGAGTAATTGTTTTATGCTGCTTTGTGTCTTATGTTTTCAGTTTGGGCTGAGAAACATTTTGACAAATTTTGGCGAAACTGGATGGATGGAATAAATGAATCATTAAGAAAAGACATTTTCAATATTGGTAATTATACAATGAGATGTTTTTGTCTGTTTTTATGATTCAGCAATGTAAAAAACTATTGACGAGTAATGCAAGGGAAAACAACCATATTTCATTGGGTTAGATTCTATGTCTTTAGAATAAAATCAACATTATAAACTGTTAGTAAAAATAATTTACCTTTTTTTAATCAGGAAAATACTACGACGAAACAACAAGTGTTGTCAGTGACCAGCTTTACACTTGGTTATCAAAAGCAAATAGTGTAGATGATCAAGTTAATGCATGGAATCGTTGGATTAAAATTTGGAGTCGGTTCACGGTGGAAAATTTTCTTGAAAGTACTATCAATGTAATTAAAGCGAAAGTTTCTATTCAAGATCAGGAAGACTTAGATTTAATCAAGCTTGAAAGTCTTTTCCCTTGGTCTTGCGACGCAGTTCAAGGCTTTTCTGTAGTTTTTTTATGCGTGTGATCGTAACCAATCACTTGAACACTATCTTTCTTTTCCATTGGGAAAATGGCATTCTCCTGAAATGCATTGTTTAAAAGGTGGCATGCACAGTTTGCCAAAAGCGTTTTTCAACAGTGGAATATTTAATACAGACGACATAGAATACAAGAAGCAAGTATATGAATTAATTTACTTGTAAAAAGATGATTGTCCACTAAAAGATTTTGTAGAGGTGTCGTGTTATTCAAATAGTGGTGCATCAATTGCTTATAAAGGAAAGGTAAGTTTAGTTAACCGAAATTAATTTAGTCGGAAATGTTTTCTTAACCTTTTACTTTGCGAACTTGTTCAGTGATTGTTGAGCTACTACACTGCCAAAGGGTTTATTAAAATAAAACTCGACAACAGCGAGACATCTGAGTTTGTAGTGAATTGCAACCTGTGGTATGTACATTAGACTGGATAACGCATCTCTCGTAAAAATTAAAGCGGGAAGTTCGATCATTTGCTGTTGACTTAATGGGAGATGTCGGTCCTACTTTACTATCCTTTTATATTACAAATTCACATTTTTTGCTTTCTTACATTTTAAAAACTTCTGATTTGGACAAAGTTTTAATGAAATGTACAGGAAACCGGTGGAGAGTTTTAACCCTAATGTTGTATTTTCTGTGCATTTGTAATGACTGAGAAATGAGATAGCACGTTGTATCGCCATTTAAAAGTGGAAGTTGACAAGGACAATTTCTGTTCCGCGAGGCATTTTTCGAAGATGAATTGTCAATCTACAACAAAGTATAAACAAACGCATTCATATCTTCAATATATTCATCTATAGTGTAGATCTTCATAAAGGAACTGGTTAAAAACTCCGCTTCACTAATGAAAAATAGAAGTTTTGCATATTTCTATGATGTACATCTTCTATATTTTGATGATATAGTTTTCAATTTACTGATGTATATCAAAACATCTTTCTGATCAGTGGCGTAGCTAGCGAAAATCATTTGGTCGGTCTCACGAGGTGCCACCATGGTTGGCGCCGAGCGATGAATTTTTCCGAATTTAGACTCCCTAGAACGTCGGAAACGGCTATCTTAGAAAGCAAATGCGTGATGTTTATGCAGGGAATAGAACCATTTTGGTTAATTTAAATTGCCGAAGGATCTTATAGTAAAGCAGAGAAAGAGTTTAAAAATAGTTGCAGATATGTGATTTATTTTCTCAACACCATATACATAAATAGATACCTATGTACATCTTGTAAAGAAAGTTTGTTAAAAGAACCGAAAAAGGCTCAGATTTGTCATCAACAACTATCAAAATTTGTGATGCCGTTCATTGTCGTGCTGAAATGACAATCATCATTGCCTGCATTACAAAGTTCCCGAAAAAATTCTCACATGTCATGGACGTAAAACATCGTCAGCTATTTTTTATAAGAAAGCAAGTCTTCGTGGTTTTTCAATGAACTTCTTTACTACCTCATCATGCAATGTGTTGGCGTCTTCTTTCTCTGAGAGTATGTCTTTGTGAATGGAAATCCTGCAAAGAGAACTAAAACGTCCTTGGCTCATAGTATTTCTAAGATAATTTTTTACCCTCTTCAAACAAGAAAATGACCTCTCAACTGAAGCACTTGTAATTAACAAAACCCCATTTATCTTTAACAGTTTCACAACTTCTGGAATACTAGATTGAAGATGGAACTGAAAAATATATTTCAATAGTTCATCGCATGAATCACAATCAAAGTCTTTATCTCTGTAAAAAAAACAAAATGGCTAACTAGCATTGGTATGTCAAACATATCACCATGAACCTCCTTTAGATGATTTATCTTTTCTGAGGGCATTTCACCTTTCCACATCTTAAACACCCTAGGGATAACAAAGTCTAAAAATCTAAAACGCTCCATATCCTGAAATCGCTCAGTCAGCATAGTCACAATTGTGTCAAGAATTTCAAAATACATTTGTTTGTAATTATGCCGTTGGTCATACCTGGTTACTGGTGGTCCCACTTTCTCAACAGCCAGGTCGTACACCTGACAATATCTCAGAGAAACAACAAAGGCTTTGAATCTCTCAACCCTACTCACTCCGTAATGAAAGTCAGTGTCCTTGTCTTGCAAGATAGAATAAAGTATGGATGACTGCTCAAGAATTCTCTGGAAAACAAGTACCAAGAAACAAAACAAGAAGCCATTAAGGTAGCCAAGTAAACCAGTAACCTTACTTAACGTTTCATCATCCCAACCTATTGGATTATCAGTAAGATTTTGAAATATGTCTATCAATTTCTCATAGTTAGAATGCAAGACATTGATGACATGAGCCCTATAATACCATCTTGTGTCACCAGGACTAGGAAACTCATGCCTAGGGGATGATAGTAAAGCTTTTCTTTTGGGGGAATTGCCAGTAAAGGTGCAGAAAGCACTGATATTAACAAAGAAAGTCTTAACAGGTGAAATGGAGGATGCAGCTTGACATAATACTAGATTTAGTCTATGTGCAGCACATTGAACAAATTGAGCATAAGGATAATCCTGCTGAACTTGAGTTTGAACACCATTGAGATGACCAGACATAACAGATGCACCATCATAAGTCTGTCCAATAAATTTCTCTTTCACATTATTATAATGATTTAACTTACCCTTAACCACTGATGATATAGAAGTTGCAGCTGTCTTTCAATGACACTTTCCCCTTTGTCCATGCGAACAATTACACTCAATTGTTCTTTGGTAGAAACATCAGTTGCTTCATCAACCTGTATACTAAAGAAAGTGCAGCAATCTATTTCCTTTAAAATCTCATCCTCTATTATCTTATCAAGACAATCAATCAAATCATTCTAAATATCAGGAGAGACTCCAGTAAACCGCCCTCCCCCAGCAAGGTGGGCTTCAGCGACCCTGCCATGTAATCGCCTTTCAAAAACAGAATCCATCTTAGCAAAACTTTCAAGTAGCTCTCCATAAGTTCTACTATTCATGCTGCCATTAGATTCATCATGCCCCCTAAATGCAATCTCTTGCTTAGACAAGTATAAACAGCTTCTGTTATGGTTTTCAACATTTCCCTGTTTTGCCTTACCTCCTCGTTATGACGCTGAATCTCTTCACGTCTGGCTTGGGACATGAGATAGTCGACACGAGGCTGAAAACCGTAGGTCTTCCAGGTCTTGTAAGCACCCATGTGCCATTTTGCCATCTCAAGCTTCTTGCAATCGGATAGGAAATTCTTCATGTTTTTGAATGCCGTCTGCGTCCATGAAGATGACGATCCAGGGCAAAACAAAAGATAAGGCCAACAGAACTCTGCATTCTGTTCTGAGCTACCACAAAGCCAATCTTTCTTCGAGTACCAACTTTCCTGAAAGCTTCTATTGCCTGTAGTCGCTTGTAAATTTGGAATTGGCGGCTGCTTTACGAGTATTATTTTGCTCGCCTGATTGTCAAACAGAAAATGGTTTCTTTTGTAGTTCACTTATTATATCGATTTCATTAGCCGAAGCCATTGTAATGCACGTTATCACGATTTCCGAACGTATATTTCGAAAGCTCAAAATTCAAGTCACGCTTTTGAAAATGAGCCCCACTAGATGTTGTTAAACGTTTGAGTGTGTTCACAGCTACTCTCAACCAATCAGATTACAGATATTCCCACTATAGATTTTACTACTTGGTCGGGCTGAATTTTCAGAGCCCGACTAGATGTTGCGAAACAGCGCATTTGAGTTTGCTCGGTTGCTGTCAACCAATCAGAATGCAGATAATCCCACTATAGATGTTACTACTTGGTCGGGCTGAATTTTCGGAGCCCGACTAAGCTGCGTAATGCCTGGCACTAGAAATGCACTAGTCATTGTTGCTAAGTAACGTTTAAAAATATGATAATTTTGCTAATAACGACGCAATTTGACAAATATTACACTAATAGACTGTGGATTATTCCAAAAAGAGTCGCAGAATTTAAAATTTTCGCAAATTCAATTTTAACCCTATATTAACCCTTGTAGCAAATATGCTACATTGGGCAACACTAAAGAATTCCTACAAATTTTGCAATATTTTTTAACTTTATTCACCAGTGTAGATTTTTTGCTACATGTTTGATGCTAATTTATATTAATAAAGCATGTAACCCCCAGCTACTATTATTTACAAATCAAACATGGCGGATCACGAAAGAAGGCATGTGCGACAATCTGAGGCAATTTTAATTGCATTTACTGTTTTGAAATATGATGATTTGTTCCAAAACCTTTGATATTTTCAAACAAGGGCCTTCTCTAGACATTTCGTTTCATCTTTTGTTCTGAATAAATGCATCTTTATGTTCATAATTTTTCAATGAAAATCCTTGTTCCAAATCTGCTACATTGGTCAATAATTGAAAAACGAACTACATGAAGTATTTATTGTAAGTTGAGTTTTTGTTAAATTTATTGAAATATTGCCTATTTAAAATCAATCTTATGATACTTTTAACATATTAACTACTGTATAGAATGAAATTTCATACTATGGCTATGGTTTGTTCTAAATATTAGTTGATACATTTTATAAATGTATTGATCCATATATGTTTTTTTAGATGTCAAATCGCTTTGAAGATATAAGTGAGATCATTGATTATGTTATTGGTTCAGAGAGTGAGTTGAGTGATTTATCTAGTGATTATGAAGTAGATGAATGGCAACCACCTGGTGATGACAGCCAAGTTGCCAAACAACATGATGATAACATGGATATCCCGGCTACCATTCCTGATGATGAGGGCACAAGCATTGATCATCGTGCTACAGTTTCTGAAGAAGTGCCCCATGGCACAACTGCAAGAAGAAAAGAAAAACCAAAAAATTTATATAAGTTTGACAAGCGAAGAGCATTTGTTCCACCTTCAAACCTTGAATTCACAGATGCACCACTTTAACCTGAACCCAAAGATGACAGTCCCTACAACTACTTCAAATATTTTGTGACCAGCAACATGTTTGAATATTTGGCTGAAGAATCCAATCATTATGCCCATCAAAAAGCAGGGTTTTCACTACAAGCATCAGCATGTGAACTTAAAACATTTGTGGGTCTGTTTTTTCATATGGGATTGGTGCAAATGCCTGCTGTTGGTTGCTATTGGGAAACATACATCCATTATAATCCAATAGCTGATGTGATGTCAAGACAGCGGTTTCAAAAGCTTGCTTCCTATATGCACATTGCTAACAACCTAACAGTAACGGAGGAAAATAAGAATGATAAAGTCTGGAAGATAAGGCGATGGTGTGATGATTTAAATTCAAACTTTTTGAAAGTTAGTCCATCTGAAAACCAATGCATTGATGAAGTTATGGTTGCTTTCAAGGGAAGATCAATACTAAAGCAATATCTTCCAAAGAAGCCAAGAAAATGGGGATTCAAGCTTTGGGCTCGATGTTCATCAACAGGGTTTTACATGTTTTGATATTTACCAAGGAAAGAATGCCAGAACTGAAGAAGAAAGTAGTGTCTCTGGATGTGGATTGGGTGGAAATGTTGTTTTGAAGTTGTGTTCAACTCTTCCAACAGAAAGAAACTTCAAAGTCTTTGCTGACAATTTTTTCTCCAATTTTGAAATGGTTGCTGAACTAGAAAGAAGAGGATTACATTATGTTGGTACAATCAACAACAATCGTCTTCATGGGGCTCCTCTTAAATCAGAGAAAGAATTAAAAAAACAGGGGAGAGGGTCAGAGGACAGTGTTGTCGAGACAACAAGAAATCTCTCTTTGGTTCGATGGTATGATAACAAGTGTGTCACAATGATCTCCTCCTATATTGGTAATCAGGATGGTAATAATGTACAGAGATATGATAGGTCAAAGAAACAGCATATTAGTGTTAATCAACCATCGATTATTGCGGTTTACAACAAATCAATGGGAGGAGTTGACCTTATGGATATGCTGTGTTCGCTATACAAATATAAACTTAGAAGCAAAAGGTGGTATATTTACATCTTTTATCATACTCTCACAATTGCACTGGTAAATGCATGGCTCCTATACAGAAGAGATTGCAAAATTCTTAATATCAGAGCAATGCCATTGAGAAAATTTCAAGCTATGGTTGCCTTTGCCCTGTGTAATGTAAACAAACCACAACGTGGACGTCGGTCAATAGAAAGTGCAAGAAAGAAGAGAAAAAAATCAGTAAATCCAGCACCAGTAGAAGATGTTCAATTTGATGGTGTTGATCATTTGCCCATTTATGCAGAGAAACGACAACGTTGCCAAAAGTGCACGGATGGATTTTCACTTGTTATGTGTGGGAAGTGCAAGGTTCATTTATGCTTGAACAAAAATCGTAATTGCTACACTGCATATCATAGAAAGACATGCTAAAATTAATGTTTTAATGGC